ACATCCAGTCAACATATTGCCTGTGGCTGCTTTTCCACAACAGCAGACTTGAGTAGCTGCAACAGAGACTCTAAAAGATCGCCACTCCCCTGTCCCGATCTATACAGACATTCTGCACCAAGTTTTATGTATATGTGGATAGAATACAAAACTGTCACAATACTCTTCTCAGGATTAAGTGAGATAAGTTCCTGTCGCTGGGCAAGCCAATAATATGATGTCCCTTCAAGTCAAAACCCTTTTAAGTATTTGCTCAGCATATGTAGTGGAGATGGGAAGAAACTGATTTCCTAGCAATAAAAGTTATATATCTCTTCCTTTATTTCAAAATAAAAGATTTATTGCAAGTACCAAATATTATATAACATTTTGCCTTATTTGGAATTACCTTAGAAGCACAATTTCTTAAAAGCACAATTTCCTGGTATGGTAATAACCACTTGGGAGGTTTAAACATTTAAATAATCAATGACATACCATGTAATACAGTAAGTGATACCCGGAATACATTATTTTGTTTCGGAATTTAAGCTATTTTCAGCTGCCAACTTTGTTGTAAATCCTCACATGAGGATATTTTTCCATTGACTTTTAGAGAGAGTGAGAGAGAGAGAGAGAGAGAGAGAGAGAGAAACATCGATGTGAGCAAGACACATAGATTGGTTGCCTCCTGCACATGCCCTGACCAGGGCCAGGGATCAAGCCTGCAACCGAGGTATGTGCCCTTCACTGAAATTGAAACTGGGACCCTTCAGTCTGTGGGCTGACACTCTATCCACAAAGCCAAACCAGCTAGGGTTCAGCTACTGACTTTTAAAGACTACTGCCAGCTGATTGGCCTCAAAAGGTGATTCGGTCTCCTGTTCGAACGTGGCAGCTCAGCGGAGGAGGGGTTGGCACCAGCAAGGAGTATGTCTCTCGTTTTGCTTTGTTTTTCCATCCAAGAGCACTATCTAATTTGGCAAAAGAGAGGACCAATTTCTATTTCACTGGTTAAATAGAGTCATATGTGGAAACGAGAGGATCTCCACCTTGCCTGAATGGGCAGGGGCTGCTCTGGTGTGGATCTAATTTCCCAATCTTGTTTGTTCCTGACCACGTTAGACCATTATTTTCCCTTCCTGGGCTTTGATTTCTTTATCTGCTAAATGGGAAATCTCAGATGGTGGCTAATGTCTCCTCAAGCTTCAACACTGTAATTCTAAGCATCCATTGCCATTAAGAAATGTGTATTTTGGATTTACAGCGAGCACTGGCTTTGGCCTTAAAAATTGAACTCTGGCCCAGCTGGTGTGGGTCAATGGCTGAGCACTGACCCCTGAACCAAGAGGTCACAAGATCGATTCCTGGTCAGGGCACATGCGCAGGTCGCAGATTCAACCCCCTGTAGAGGGCATTTCTCTCTCATCGATGTTTCTATCTCTCTATCCCTCTCACTCTCTAGAATTATTAAAAGCATTTTTTTAAATAATTGAACTCTGTTCAGAAAAGGTGAATATCAAAATGCCAGAGTCAGTCCATGGTCAAAGTTGGACTGCTTCTTGGTGAAATAAGAGAGAAAAGGACAGGATAGAGAAAGTACTGTTCTTTAGTCAAAGTTTCTTCCTCTGATGGCATTAACAGACCCTTTCCTTTATAATGTGGTAGGGATAGTACTGTGTGTTTGCTCAGTTGTGTAGGTTCCTACTTGGTAACATAAATTTGGAAATTTCATGCAGTCTCCAAATTTTTATTGTTGGAATTTTACCAGCTCATGGGAGTCAGACATCTAGAACCACAGCTGAAAACCTCCCAGCTGAAATTTCCAAAGCCTCTAATTTATGTCAGGAGAGAAAAGTAGATTTTCCCCCCTCAAACCCTGCATAAGCTCATTGCTATAAATCTTAACCTGGGAAGAGGTCTGCTCTTCCGGAGACTTGACTTTTGCTGAGTAGGTCTAGGTGCTGGGCACAGTCTTCTGCTGAAGACCAAGTGCAGGCAGGAGCGCCCCAGGAGTCTTCAGTGGGACCCTTCCTCTGGCAGCAGACTCATGTTGATTGCAGTTGTGTAACTGCCCTAGCTAAGCCGTCTCCCCGTGTGCTGAGGAGCCTCTGTGTTGGACATCCGTGGCCGGCACCCACGCCGCAGCCAGTGGTTCTGCCAGTGCGTGACCTCAGGAAGCCCAGGTTGGTGTCTGCTGGCCGATCCTCGCCGGGGCCTGCTGGTTGGTTCTGCTCTTGTGCATTGTAGCTCCTGACAAACTCCAGCTGGAGCCAACAGCCCCATTAATTTTCATTTCCTTCAGGAAAGCTTCAATCATGTCAGGCTGGTATTTGTTCGTCACTGGAGCAGCTTGATGCGCTGAAGCAGCCCCTTCTGCTGTGGCACCGAGCGTGCAGTGCTCTGTTTGTGTGTGTGTGTGTGTAAGGTTATGGCTTTTAATCCTCACTTTTAAAATGTTCCAATGTTGTGAATAGTAATACAGAGAAGGGTTTATCCTCATGATGCTTTTAAAAGGAAGACTGAAAAGTGTCACTTTGGTCTCTGTACCCTTTTTACCCACTGTTCCTAGGGGCATGTTTATCCTTCAAGGATTTTTTTTTTTAACCCTCACCCGAGGATATGTTTTTATTGATTTTGAGAGAGAGAGAGAGAGAGAGAGAGAGAGAAACATTGATGTGAGAGAGATACATAGGTTGGTTCTCTCCCAAACACACCCCAACCAGGGATCAAACCCACAACCTAGGTATGTGCCCTGACTGGGAATCGAACCTGCAGCCCTCTGGTGTACCGGATGACACTCCAACCAACCTAGCCACTGGGCCAGGGCATCCTTCAAGGATTTTTTTTATACATCTACCTGCCCAAAATATATTTTTCCCTTTTTTATATAAATGGTGGCACGCCACACACAGTATCTGCATCATGCTTTTTTCACTTAATTTATCCTAGAGATCTTATCATGTCATTGCATGTTAAGCTTCCTTGTTCTTTGTAAAATATCTGCATAGTATTCCAGTGTATGGCGAACCATAATTAATTTGACCAGTCTCCTTGTGAGAGACATCCAGGTTGCTTCCAACCCTTCGTCCTTAGAAACAATGCTGTCATAAATAACCAGACACACATGTGTGTCCATGGCCTTCTTTATCTGTGGCATACAGTATAAGCATGCATTTGCTGGAACAAAGAGTTATGCACAATTGTAATGTTGACAAGTTGTGGAAATATCCTCCATAGGAAAAGTATCAATTTCCCACTGATGTTTCAGGGTTCCAGTTTCCCTTGAGCTATCCCAAAATTTTGGATTTTTGTTAATCTGATAGGTAAAATGGTCTCTCAGTGATATTTGATTTTCATTATTTTATTATTAACTAGAGGCCCAGTGCATGGATTCATGCACTTGTGGGGGGCGTGACCTGCAAGAATCGGCCCGCTGTGGGAGCACCACTCATCCTGGTCACCTGAGCGGTGCTCCCACTGTGGGAGTGTACTGACCACCAGGGTAAAGCTCTTGCATTGAGCATCTGCCCCCTGGTGGTCAGTGCACGTCATAGCGACTGGTTGACCGGTTATTCTGGTCATTCCACCATTCGGTCGCTGGGCTTTTACATATATAGATGAGGTCAAACAACTTTTCAAATGTTTAAATCATTTATATTTCCATTGCTGTGAAGTACCTGATCATATCTATTTTTTTTTTAATTCACTTTTTGGTCTTTTTCTTTAGTGTTGACTGGAGCTCTTTTGTTTGTTTGTTAATCCACCGAGAATGTGGCTAAAAGAGAGATTGAATCTCTATATAAAATCATATTACTCTACTGCATTGTTCTTATTTTTCACAATGAAAAATTAAAGTAGAGGCAGATTAGGTGACTTATCTGATATCATGTAAATAAAACTAATCATAAACATCAAAATTCAGCCTAGTGGATGCCTCTTAGGCAGTGATTCTCAACCTTCCTAATGTCACGACCCTTTAATACAGTTCCTCATGTTGTGGTGACCCCCAACCATGAAATTATTTTCGCAGTTATTTTCATAACTGTAATTTTGCTACTGTTATGAATCAATGTAAATAATCTGATATGCAGGATGTATTTTCATTGTTACAAATTGAACATAATTAAAGCATAGTGATTAATCACAAAAACAATATGTAATTATATATGTGTTTTCCGATGGTCTTAGGCGACCCCTGTGAAAGGGTCATTCGACCCCCAAAACGTGACCCACAGGTTGAGAACCGCTGCTCTAAGGGGAAGGAAAGGAATAAGATCAGTAAAAAGTATAGAAAGGATTCGACTATATGGATAAATTTTATTTCTTAAGCAGCATTTTGGGGTCATGGATATTCATTGATTTATACTTTATACCTTTCATATACCATAAATATTGGAAAAAAAAATTCAAAGATGAACCCAGAAGAGGGGGAAAAAAAGAAAATGATTTAAGTGGGAATGGAAATCGGATTTTTAAATCACTAAAAAATGTAAGGTCTCTTTTTCTGTAATTACGGATTTAAAGAAGACTTCACAGATCCATGCCCCATTTATTTCCAGTTCCATGGTTCTCATCTATTTTAGAAATTATTTTACTTATTTGTAGTTCAAAGAATTTATCCAGTGTTCAAAATTCATGGCAAAAAAAATGCATTTCTAAAATTTGTTCCACGCACTAAACCCTGGATCTTATGCCTAAAACAAGTCAACTATGGTTTCATGAGAAAGGTGGGTTGATTTCCCCAGGAAGGAAGCACAGGGAGATGGTGACAAATTCTCAGGCTGAAGACACGGTGTGGTTGGCAGGGGCTGCCTGCTTGGAGTGGCCCTCACTGAGTTGGCAACTGTTTTTACCTGATGGCCAGTCACCTTTGAAATATGAACTTCAAGAGACCCACTATCAGGGGGTGTTTTTTTTTAGAGGGGAGTTTGGCTCCGGACCAGTAGAGCTAGAATTTGAAGTCAAAATTGTCTTCGCTAATGTTCTCTCTCTTATTCTTTTTACTATTTTAACTGCAGTGAAGGGAGCAATCTGACCCCAGCACATCACTACCCAGACTTCAGATTTAAGACATATGCTCCACTAGCATTCCGATATTTCAGAGAGCTTTTTGGCATCAAGCCTGATGATTACTTGGTAAGAATCTATAATTTTCCTTCTTTTCCAGAAATGTGTGATGTAAACATTTGTCTCATAGCAACAGTGATAAGTGACTTGTGTCTCTTATTTTATAAAGCTCTGGAGCGTAGTAAAAAGCTCCAACTCTCATAATGATTATACATTTAGCTTCAGAACATGTGATTTGATTGCAGTTTTTAACTGATGGCTACAAAATCTGCCATTGTGATTGATACTTAAATAACTCTGGTATTGGTTTCTTCTTCAGATAATTATTCTAGCAGATATATTATAATTAGTTCTAAATACTCCTGTGAATTTTGCTGATTGGATTCTCTTGGAAAGCCTTTCTGTTTTAATTGCCTTATTTACACCATTCGTCTCAATCCTGCCTTGGCCTGCAACCATTTTCACCTTGACCTACAATGGAATATTCTTTTAAGGAACTGGATATCTTTGTTCTCAAAATCTCTTTATACAGATTCTTTTTAAATGTGTTTTCATTTGGTACAAGGCTGTGTTTTATTCTCAGATTTGTCTTTTCTCCCTGCCTTCCTTCTGGCGCAGGCAGCACCAATACAACAGCCTTTCTGTGAGGTAGTCTGATGTGGCCTCAGAGATTTACCCTTTCCCTGTTCAAGGAGTCAGGGACTTCTTTCTGTTTCAAGAAGAAAATGGTGTATTGTGTCATTTGATCACTGTTCACACCCTGGGGCTCTTCAAAATCAGTTCTCAAGAAGCTGAAGGAAGGATGCCATCAAATATTGATGGTTCATCTCATTCTGAATTGTATTAATAGGACTTGAGCTAGATCCTGGAATAATGCTTTGCAAAGGAGGTAGAGCCACATTTGTCACTTGTCACAGAGAGTGTTTAAAATGCATCTTTTAATTCGGGTGCAATGGAAATGATTAAATTCCAAGCAGATTCCCCTTTGTGCTGATGGAAACCATGCATGACCCGCTTCTTTCGTTTGGCCTTAAGAAAATCATATGACTGCTGCCCGATGAAATAATACCGGTTCCTCAAGGCACATTAATAAGTCTTTATAGAGCAGGCAGAACTCAATAGAAAGTCCCTGGGCATCCTGCTTTCCTGAAATGTGTGTCCATGTGCTCTCTGCCTCATCACACCCCTTTAATTGAAATGCCAGGTGCCCCTACCCAGCATTGTCAACCCTGCCATCCCAACCACTCAAGTACACAAACTCATTTGGGGTGTGTGTGTGTGTGTGTGTGTTTGGCTAGGAAACAAAGAATCTTCCCTTTCTGTAATTACTGAGGGTCAATGTCATTCAAGGAACGTTTTTGGGGAAACCACTGGGATCTTAATATCATATTATTGAAAATAAGATCAATCCCTCATCTTCTGCTTCACGTGAAAAATTAATGCATTTTCTCTCTGAATTTCCTTGAGATTCTGCAGGCAAAGGGGATACCATACATTTGCATTTCATAACACGGATCCAGTCAGTATGGGATGGCTGCACCTCTGCCCTCTCCCAAGTAGGCCTCTCCTGTGGCCATTGACCCCCAGGCTGGGAAGCCCTTGCTGCTGCTCGTTCTGTCTCACAGCACAGCTTTCTTTTGGGAAGGCCCATTTCTGAACAAGTCCTCATGTAGCTGTCACAGTAATGAGCCTGTAAGCTAGAAAGTTTACTTTCATAATGAGGTTAAAGTGTTCACAACGGAGCATAGGAGACTAAGCTGATGGCTTCTGGAAGCAAAAGTCTTCCTTCAACCCTAGCCAACTTGGCTCAGTGGATAGAGCGTCAGCCTGTGGACTCAAGGGTCCTGGGCTCGATTCCGATCAAGGGCACATGCCCGGGTTGAGGGCTTGATCCCCAGTAGGGAGCGTGTAGGAGGCAGCCAATCAATGATTCTCTCTCATCATTGATATTTCTATCTCTCTCCCTCTCCCTTCCTGTCCGAAATCAATAAAAATATATATTTTTTAAAAAGTCTTCCTTCATGTTCCTGGCGGAAGGTAAATTAATCATTGCCTATTTTGAACACCTATTGTAACTAAAATACTTCGCTAATAATTATCGGGAGATTCAAGACATTATAATTCATGATAGTCAGAGAACTTAGAATCCAATTAGAATAATTGGTTTATGTGGGAAAGAACCATTCTACCAGGCAGTAAATAAAAAGACAGAAGCAACATATTAAATGCTCCAGGAATTGGGGGGGGGGGGCCTCTCTCTTGGATTAATGATTAAGAGGGCTTCTTATGGGCATATGTGGTTTAACTGTGATTTTAAAATTACAAAGGATTTGAAGGGAAAGATATTGGAAGGGGCCAGAGGGAGGTGACTGTGATACCAAAGCTACAAATGCATTAAACATTTAGAAGGACTTTGAGTAGGCCAGTATAGCAGGAGGGAGAGGTTTTGATCAGGAATATTAAAAAGATAGGGCCATATAATTCAAATAAATAGGTTTTTTTTTAATTATAGGAAATGAATGAAATGTAGAGACTGATTACATATTTGACATTATTGAACTATTGATGATGGTATTCTGTTTTAAAGGAGGAGTTTTTCTCTTTTAAGAAGTATCTGATGGATGATATGATTTGATGTCTGGGATTTGCTTCAAAGGAATCTGAGGGAACCAGGCAGGGGAGTGGATGGGGGTGAAGAGAAGACAAAATTGGCCATGAGTTGATATTGTTGAAGCTAAAAGACAGAAACATGGATGTTGATTACACGGTTCTCTCTACTTTGATATATGTTGGAAATTTTTCCATAATGAAAAGTTAGGGGAGAAAAAGATAAGACCGGGAGGAAGTATCCTTTTGTGGGTTTTTTTTCCCCCATTTTCCACCAGCCTTATAACTGTACACACAGTTCAATAACCAGGTCCATCTCAGGGACCTGCAAGAAACAGCAGGGGCAGTGGCTCTCTAGTTATACATGGCCTGGTCCTCATTGGCTACAGCCACCCACTTGCCCTGCACTGGGGATCCACAGCCCAGGACTGAGGCAGCTCCCCCTCTAAGTCTTAGAGCTTCTAGACCAGGGGTGGGCAAACTTTTTGACTCGAGGGCCACAATGGGTTCTTAAACTGGACCGGAGGGCCGGAACAAAAGCATCGATGGAGTGTTTGTGTGAACTAATATAAATTCAAAGTAAACATCATTACATAAAAGGGTACGGTCTTTTTTTTTTAGTTTTATTCATTTCAAACGGGCCGGATCCAGCCCGAGGGCCGTAGTTTGCCCACGGCTGTTCTAGAGACTCAACCTCCAAACCACCCCATCTGGGGCCCCCACGCAGTGACCTGGAATGTGGCCGTTGAGGAAATGGTCTTTTGTATGACACGGCATGCTTCCGAAAGTCAGGTGTGAGCCTCAGAGACTTTCTAGCCCAACCTTTCATTTTAGATGAGGCATCTGAAGCTGGGGTCAGTGAAGGGAAATGCCAAGGTTACCCACATTGGTGGGGACAGTGTCCATATCAGAACAGCCGTCTCCCCATCCCCCCTCCACAGTGTTCTTTTCCTTTTACCATCTGGCCTCATGCTTCCCAACCCACTAAGTCACAGGCCTCTCATTAATTGTGGTCTCAAGGTAGGTATTCCCTAGCTCAGTGGTCGGCAAACTCATTAGTCAACAGAGCCAAATATCAACAGTACAACGATTGAAATTTCTTTTGAGAGCCAAATTTTTTAAACTTAAACTATATAGGTAGGTACATTGTTATTAACTTAATTAGGGTACTCCTAAGCTGGCCTTTGCTAAAAACGTCCTCAATCTGATTGAGGTACGTTCACTGAGGTTGACCCCTTCCAACTCTCCCATCCACACTCGTATACTTGTTTCGTCTATCTCCTTTCGTTCATCCTCTCTATATGTCCAAACCATCTCAACATACCTTTCTCCAACCTCGACACTACATCTTCTTTCACTCCACAACGTTCCCTAAAATTAACTTAATAAACTTAAAGTTTTAAGTCAACTTCGCACTGTACGTGCGCGCCCGCACCTGGTATTTTGTGGAAGAGCCACACTTAAGGGACCAAAGAGCCGCATGTGTCTCGCGAGCTGCGGTTTGCCTACCACTGCCCTAGCTCATTGAACTGTGAACAGTGATTATCCAGTCTGAAGAATATAGCCAAAAAGCTCAAACAGCCCTAACAAAACGCATTTTGGAAACATTAAGCCCAAGTAAACACAGAAAAATGAAATAAGATGGACCATGAAAAACTGTGGGGAGCAAAGTAGGATGTAGTGCAAATCTCTACCACGTGCATCCTGCCATCTGTCAAATGGGCTATTTAAACCCAAATTGGTGAAGATAGACCGATCTAAAGGTGGGGGAAGGAGGGGCTAGCATTAGGTAGTGATTGGTGACTGTAGATAGTTTTGATATTGGAACCCCTTGATATGTGTGTGTTTCTCCTTAGTTTTGTGCTGTTGCATCTGGATTTCAGCCTGAATTATTCTGTTTATGTTCTCGGTTCCATTAAAATGCTGTTCCATTGCAAGTGTCATGTTGAAACATGCCTAATTTGGACTGTGAGCACGGTGAAGGTGCTTCTGCGTGCCCCGCTCAGCCATACAAACGCTTTTTCTTCCTTATTTGCTCCTAAATAAATACCTCCCAAGGGAAGGCGAAGGGGCCCCAGAGCTTTTTTCCTCGTCTCTGCTTGGACAACAGCCTTTAGTTCATTTCCTTCTCCATCAAAACCCCAGGGTGATTTATATGATGTCTTTTCAGGTTCACTAATACCAATAAGAAAGAGAGCAGGGTGCATATTTAACACAGGGGAAGAAACGACAGGGGAAAGGATCACACCACGCAAGTGTACATTGCTAATTTGCCTTGGCAGGGCCCAGCTGGGCTGTACTCTGCGTTCTTTCCAAGGGTATAGGAGGGAGGCCCTGCAGGAAACAGAAGCCAGAGAGTGAATACATTGGACCAGCGGGCACAAATGGAAGTGCCTGGAAGGCACATAAAACCCAGGAGTGCACAGGGGGGGCTTGTTGATCGTGTGGCTAATTAAAATGTTCCCATCTCTCCTCCTTATTTGCTCTTAAAAGGCAACCTTTCAGTGAAGGTTGCTTAGAAGAGAACGTAACAGAATTGTAGGTGGAGAAACCATGTAATCATAGATGACAATGGTAATATTCCTGGTCAGTATCATGACGCCAGTTTGTTGCACACGAACGCTGTGCTCGTAGAGACCCCTGAAAAGTTATTAAAATGCGGCAGAACACTTCATTTTCCCCCTTCATATTAATTTATAAATGACACAATAAAAGAGTGTTGGACAATTAAGTAACCCACGAAATAATCTCCATGTTATGTCACTGCTTATAGAAGAATTTGAGACTAATTGGGAGCAGATGTTCAGGTCTGACTCCAGTTTTCTCTAGACAGCTCTTCCTGAATCACCCCCTAATTTCTCTGTTTGCAGCCTCTAATTTCCACACTCTGTGTTTTTGTACTTTCGCAGCATTTGCTCCAATCCATGAGAAGGTTCTGAGCCAAGACTTCCAACCCCATGGAACAAGGAATCAGAATTTCTAGAGTCTGGGTCCTGCCTTCCTTCTTTGAGGCCTTTATTTTCCAGGGTCTCAAATTTGTGACTGCAGAAAAGGCCCACTTTTTTTCTTGCTTCTCAGTGTATCTGTGGGCAGGCCCGCTGCCGTAGGAGTCGGGCTGAGGCCCTCTGTGCATCCTAACGCACCACCAGCCCTCCCTCACCTGCCTGTCTGTTGCAGGTGGAGTGCCTCTCTCCACTGCATATGCCAGTGGTTCTCAACCTTGGCTGCACATTAGAATCACCTGGGAATCTTTTCAAAATCCTGATTTCTGGGCTTCATCCTCCGGAAATTCTGTTTCCTTGTTACTAATGTTGTGGCCCCACCCCATAACAAAGAAACAGAATTTCCGGAGGATGAGGCCCAGAAATCAGGATTTTAAAAAGATTCCCAGGTGATTCTAATGTGCAGCCAAGGTTGAGAACCACTGGCATATGGTCATGTAATCAAAATTAGCACCAGCCATAGCTAAACGGTCAGCCGTTGCCAGGCATTTTGAAAGCATCCACTCTAAAAGCTTCCAGCTGCTTTCTCGTAGGCATTATTATCTTTGTTTTAGAGATGAGATTCCTTAGACTCCAGGATGCTTCACTACCTACTCCAGGTTGCACAAGAGCCACTGGCAGCACCACGTGTTACAAACATCCGTTGGTTCCGAGTCCCGGGCCCTGCCACTGACCACCCGCCACACGGACACCCTCACAGCAGGAAGGTGCCCTCTGCTTCCTCTCGGCTTGTATGGCATCCTGTGCGCAGTCTGATGCTGTTGCTGTTTTCCTACCTTGTCCTCAACTTGTCCAGAAAGGCCAAGGCTGTAGTGCTGCCCAGCACGAGAGCGTCAGGAAGCGAGGAAGGAGGAGGGAGGCTGAAGTAGGAGATGGAAGTTGCCAGTGCCTTTTAGGAAGGCAGTAAGCACTTGCCTCTTTCTCTCCTTGGAGAATTGTGTTCCCCTTGTCCGAGGTGCTGCCAAAGCAAGAGAGTCTAAAAGAGGACAAGAGAACTGCTTTTTAGTCATTTTTCTCCCAGTTTCTCCTCCCTCCTTCTCTGCCGCCCCTCCTCTCTGACTTACCTTCACAAGCCCAGATGAAAGTCTTGGAGGGGTGTTCAGCCGTGTGGTCAGAGGCCTCCATCAGAGGATACGGTTCTTTAAATCCCTGCCTTTGCCATTCCCCAGGGCTAGTCAGATCACACACATATTTGCCTCCTTACCTTTGCTCTGCACCCAGTGTTTCTCTAGTCAGTAATGAGGATTATTAGTTAAACGCTGAGCTCAGTAACCAAAAATTGACCTCTATGCTAGTTTTTGTCACTTTTGGCGAGATTTACAGCCCTTGTTGCTGATGGAGTCCAGTCATTTGTTTGACAAAAAGTTACTGAATGTCCGCTATGTGCAAGGCCTAGGTCCTGAGCAGTATCACAGGATCCGATATCCGTAGTTTCTGCACTCACAGCGCTCTAATGGGAGCTCGGAATCTGTAAGTAGGCCATTACGGTGTTTTGTAGTAACTTCTGTGATGAGGATGTCCATTGCCAGGAAGCAGTTGATCTAGACTCGCGGAACCAGGGAGTTTTCTGGAATGAGTGCTAGCAACACTGAAAGCCACGTCACTGTAACAGCCTCCTCACTGTGCTCCCTGCAGCTTCCTTTCATCCACCCGCAGTGGGTTCTCACACAGCAGATGGAGTGGTGCTCTGCTCCAGACCCTTGGCCTGAAATGCCCCAGATCTCCACAGGCCTCTGCTCAAATGCCACCTTCCCAATGAGGCGTTCTGTGACCACCCTACTTAAAATTTATTGCAGCCCAGTCCTCACTCATTGCTGGGACTCTCTGCCCCCCTTTTCATGCTTCATTTTTCTCAGTAGCACTTACCACACTCTGATGTATGATTTATTCACTTGTTAGTTCACTGTCTGTTTCCTCTCCTAGGATATAAGCTTCATGAGTGCCTGGGAAATGACACGGGCTCTATAGGCGTTTTAAATGTTGAATGAGTTCATGATGGAGTGGTCGTCAACCAGGTGAAGGTAGTCTGGAGGTTGTTTCTGGTAGAGGAAAATGCAAAAGGCTAGTAGTTAAGAGTGTGCAGCACATCTGATAAAATGGGAAGCAGCTCTCTGTGACTAGAGCTGGAATGTAAAGAGGGAAGTGAAGAGAGAAAAGATTGCAGGGCAGAGCTGGGCCTTTCCTGGCCTTAAAACATCTGTTCTAAAAACTTGGGTATTATCTTCTATGTAGACAGTGGAAACCACTGAAAGTTGTGAAGGCATGGAAGGGTATGCTCAGATTTGTATTTTAGAAAGATCCTTGGTTTCCTGTTGGAGAATGCACTGGAGGGCTGGAGTGTGGATAGTTGAGATGAGGTGGGACTTTCCATAGTAATCAAGGCATGAAGTGATGAAACCATTGAACTGAGGGTATTGGCAAAAGAGATGTCATGGAGGAGGTCGGTATAATCAAGAGTCTGGATATGGAAGGTGAAGAAATGTGAGGCATTCAGGATAATGCCCAAGTGTTTGGGGAACAAAGATGCTTCCATTCCCTATGATATGCGGGAAGAAAGGAGAAGATGGAGGATGCGGCAGGAGGCAGGTGTAGAGTGACCATGCAGGGTTGTGCAGGGTGTGTACCTTCAAGAATACCTGGCCACGGTGAGGGCATGGAGCCTGGAACCCAGCCCTCCTACTCACCAACCTTGTAACTGGCCCAGTGCTACATCTGCCGGGAGAAAGAGGCACCTCTTTCTAATTCCCACAAAGGCGCCACAGTCCTGAGATGAATTTGATTTTGAACTCGTCGCATGTGGAGTGTTTGTGATATAACTAAGTAAAAACTATCCATTAAAAGGTTAGGTGTACAGGTCTGGAGTCCTGGAGAGAGATCTGGGCTAGAGATACAGATGTTAGAGACATTTCCTTGGTGAAGCCCTGAGTGGATAACACCCTTTGGGAGAATAAATCATGAGAAGAGAACAGGTGTCAGTGTTCAAGTGACAAATGCACAGTGTGGATCCGACCTTTAGTTGTTATTTTATGGGCACTTGTTGGGAACAAAGCACCTTAGTCAACACTGCTGTTTGAGCTATCTCGTCGAATACGTGCGATGATTTATGATTCTATCATATAACACCAGGGGTGGGAAGGGCATGTCTGTGTCCCATCAAAGTATTATTAAGATACATGGATCAAGTTTCTGACATCTCACACAGAGCCTTCTGAGTGTACCCGGAGCCTCTTCTTAAAGCTCATGGAGAGCGCTGCCTGTTTCCAAATGGCCAGATATGTAATGCTGTGGGTTTCCTCCTTACTCTTCAGTATTCCCTCTGCAATGAACCGCTGATAGAGCTGTCCAACCCCGGAGCCAGTGGATCCTTGTTTTTTGTGACCAGTGATGATGAATTTATTATCAAAACAGTTCAGCATAAAGAGGCGGAGTTCCTTCAGAAGCTGCTGCCCGGCTATTACATGGTAAGTAGCTGCACATAATTAAAGCTTCTGTGTGTGTTCTCAGTGACTCTTTGGCATGTTTCTTTCTCTCTGGTGAACTTTATTTTGTATTTAGACTATGCTATGACATTTGTTGACAAGATTTAAAAAGCCAAATAGAACTGAGTAGTAGAGCATGGCTGTTGACTCGCTCTGCCCTGGGTTCAAATCCCAGCTCAGCCATTAACTGACTGTGTGACCATGAGTAAGCAAGGTAATCTCTGAGCCTTAGTCCTTTCAATCGTTAAAAGCTGGGAAATGCCTATTTTATGTGGTGGTTGTGATAAAAAAAAAGACAGGATGTAAGATAAAGGAAGCAATGCATTCATTGCAAAGCTCCTTGCACCCAGTACATACTAATAACATGAGTGGTTAATATTCGTTGAGTGCTAAACTATGTTAAGAACAGCTACAAGTGCTTTTCTTGTATTAACACATTTAATCCTCACAGTAATCTTGGACACTTCAGTCATTGCCATTTTGTAGATGAGTAACTGAGACAAAGATAAATGGAATAAGTTGCCAGGGGTTATTCAGGGAGTGAGCTGTAGAGGTGGGACTTGAATACAAGTGGTAGGGTTCCAGAAGGCTGTGTCTTTAACCCCTGCACTATGTACCAGCATGCATTCAAGAATAACCACTATAATTCAGAATTTCATAGGTTAAGTATAATGACATGAAAAATCACCTTTCATGTAATGTTTTAGAGACAAACAACCAGTAACCTAGTCTAGGTGAATTTACTAGACATTTAGTCTAAATTTTTCAAAAATAAACACTTTCCTAAGTAACCTTTTCATCTTCATCCCTCTCATGTATTGGTACCTTCATGACAGTTATTAATGATCTGTGGTTGGAATGGCTACAGGAAGCAGTTTAGATTTCAAGCCCCCAGTTCTGCTGCTCACTTGCTAAGAGAGATAACTGTCGTCCTTGTTTCAAAACAGAATTGATGAGATGCCACACAGCTCATTTATGTGTAAAAGATTATTTAAATCCAAAGTCTGCTAGCGACTACATTAAATGCTGTAAATCTGCCACACATGTAAATAGAGCAATCAAACATCTAAATACAAATCTTAAATGACAGGGTGCACAGATTTTAAAAGGTCTTGATCCTGAACGAATAGCTTTTATTTTTGAGCAAATTCTCTTCTTTCTGTTAGAGAATATAAAAAATACAGAAAAGGAAAAAGAATGCAACCATCCATAATTCCTTTCCCAGAGATGCGTATTACTAATATTTGGTATAAGTTGGTATATGTCCTTTCGGCTATATTGTATTTATACACACATTTTAAAGTAATGTAAAATTGGAATCAAACTAACATCACACTCTTGGCTAACCTCTAAGTGAGCAAATCTTAAACATCTATAGTTCTAAGCTTCTGTAGTTCTAGATAGACTAGTCTCTTACATGGGTATTAAATTGAAATTAATAAATATTCAGTAAAACTTTAAAATTTAGCTGAACAAGTGGTTTTATCCAAGTCATGTATGCTAGTGTAACAAACAATATAATTCATCCCACTAACAAGAAACGGATGCGAACATCATGCAGTTTTCCAAATAGACATTGAAACTAAGGCACTCGAAATTCAACATCTTTTCTTATTTAAAATTCTAAAAATTGGCAGGGAGGTCTTTTAATGTAAGAAGTAAGTGAATACTCATATTTTATACCTTTATCAGTCTCCAAGAATTCACATATCTCATTGAGAAGAACAAGAGCCCTTTCACTGGAAATGATAGAAAAGAAAAAAGATGTCCTTTATCGAGAAATTAAGGCACTCGAAATTCAACATCTTTTCTTATTTAAAATTCTAAAAATTGGCAGGGAGGTCTTTTAATGTAAGAAGTAAGTGAATACTCATATTTTATACCTTTATCAGTCTCCAAGAATTCACATATCTCATTGAGAAGAACAAGAGCCCTTTCACTGGAAATGATAGAAAAGAAAAAAGATGTCCTTTATCAATGGTCCTTTCTGATATATTCGCTAGAATTCTTAGCAATAAATGTTTGATACAGAAATAGAAGGAAAGTGTAAACTCTGTTCTTTACAAATTATAAAATTGAAAATCAGCAAAATTTCAAGAAAATAAACTGGTAGTTTCTAGATATTAAGAATCCACCAGATATAAGACAAATCTACAAAATCCATGTATTCTATTATGTAGATCATATAGAGTTGGAGAATATGAGGGGGGAAAAAGATTCCATTCATAATGAGAATAATATAAGAAACATTATTAGATAATGTTTAAATAAAGATAAGTAAATGAAGACATACTATAGTTCTGATTGGGAAAGCAAATTAAAGTAATTATAACATATGATCAGTAATCCCTGCAAAATTTTGTAATAAGGATTCTAAAATACTTAAGTTTATGAAAAGAAATGTACAAGACTAATATGATGGAAAGTTAAAAATTTTTATTTAAGCACATAAAAATGATGTAAGATAGTAAAGACATATGCATCATTTCTGAACTCGGTATTGTAAAGATTTCCATTACCCCCAAGTAAAAATATAAATCCAGTGTAATTCCAATATAATGTTTTCCTAGAACTTGACAAAGCTGATTCATTTGCATGTGAAAACAAGTATTATTTTAAGAGCACCTAAAAAATTAAACAGTGGAAGGGAAGAGTTGTAAGAACGGACAAAACATTTTGGGGGAAAGAATGGTGGGCCTGCTCTAAATATATCAAAACTCTATAAAGCCGTACTAAAATTATAGATGTGGTAGGCAAGTAGATCAGTGTATTCAAATCAAGTGTCCAGAAATAGATGCATGTGCTTTGATAACTTATCATATGATATAGGAGGAACTTAAACTCAATTGGGAAAGGATAGACTCATCAATAAATGGCTATGTCACATTGAAGAAAAAAATTAAATTCCTGTTTTAGATCTTTCGCACACACATAAATTAATTTCATATGGTGTAAAAACATAATGTAATGTCCAAAACTATAAAGATCTGGAAGAGAAGGCATTTATAACCTGGGGATATAAAACGCTTTGTTAAACAAGAAGCCAAAAAAGCCCAAGAAATGAGTTCATGAATGTTACTACATTAAAAAACAAAACATCTGTATAATGAAAAAATAGCAGCACAAAATTAAGATAAGCACATAGAATATTTCTGGAATGATATAACGAAAGTGGGAATATTAGTTTCCTCAAAAGTTGGGAATTAGGAGAAGGATCAGGCACAGTAGAGACTTTTCATTATATATATGCCTTTCCTTTCTCACCTACTTTTAAAGTAGGACAAAAACAGGCATGTATTCTTTGTTTTTATATTTTAAAAAGACTGGAACAAAATATTTACTCCCTAGAGAATAGGAAAATGATAAATATCTAGACTATATCAAGGACTCCAACAAGAACAAAAACCTAAGTGAGCAAGGGAATGGATGTTAGCAGAAAATTATCTTTGAGGTACCTAAATATAAATCAGAAATATTACATTTCTCTAATCAGTGATGTTCAAATTATTTTTTAAAGTTTTCATTTTTCACCAATCATGTTTACAAAGATTTTAAAGTTTGATACTCAGCACTGATAAGAGTGATGAAAAATGTGTAATCTTACAAAGTGTGCCTGTGAATCAGACTGGCCATTTTGGAAGACAGTTTTTCCGGAGCTATTAAAATTTAAAATGTTCATCCCTTATTCCCAAGCAATTAATTTTGTCTTTTGGCTACCTTAGAGAATAGTCACACACGACACTAATCAATTCTTTGCCCATTTTTTACTTGGAGCTAACTTGGGACTTTCTGTCCATTTTTAATTCAGCTACTTTTAGTGTCTTGAGTTTAGAATGATAAAGTTGCTATTGAAATAAGCCAATTGAAGAACTAGATTAGAGACAGCAAACTTTTAGCAATGGCCATTAGTAAAGACAATCGTGTTCTATTTTTTAAAAATAGGTGAAAATACATCTTTAGTGGAGCTTATTTGGTAAAAATAGGATATTTTAATCATTTTTTTTTCTTTTTCTTTATTTAGAATTTAAACCAGAATCCAAGGACTCTTTTGCCAAAATTTTATGGACTGTATTGCATGCAATCAGGGGGCATTAACATCAGAATCGTGGTGATGAACAATGTCTTGCCGCGCTCCATGAGAATGCACTTTACATACGACTTGAAAGGCTCGACCTACAAGCGAAGAGCATCCCGAAAAGAGAGAGAAAAGTCCAACCCCACCTTTAAGGACTTAGATTTCCTACAAGACATGCACGAAGGGTTGTATTTTGATACAGAAACATACAATGCGCTCATGAAAACTCTTCAGAGAGACTGTCGGGTAAGGAAACGCTGTTGCTCTGATTTCCTTTGAAAAGTCACCTGTAGTGATGTAAGAAATTGTAAGAAATGTGCCAAGCGGATACTTGGAATCCCGTTGGTCCCAATCCTGGTGCTGATTCATGCTACCCTGATGTCAGAGGGATTTGTGGATGATGAGGGAACTGTCTAGAGCAGCGGTTCTCAACCTGTGGGTCAAGACCCCTTTGGGGGTCGAACGACCCTTTCACAGGGGTCACCTAAGACCATCGGAAAACACATAATTACATATTGTTTTTGTGATTAATCACTATGCTTTAATTATGTTCAATTTGTAACAATGAAATTGGGGGTCACCACAACATGAGGAACTGTATTATAGGGTCGCGGCATTAGGAAAGTTGAGAACCACTGGTCTAGAGTGTCTGTTGATGGTTACTAATAAGCTAAGTCAGCTTTTTTTTTATAAAATGAAAAAAGATTTGCTTTTCTTTTCATCCTCTGCTGTGGGGATGGTAGTTAAACCAGAGGCTAAAGAAATTTAGGTTTAAAGCAGTGATTAGGCCATGTAGAAATCTTGGAAGAAGTAAGATTCCAACAGGCAAGAGAAGCTTAGAGAAAAGGTCTGTGGTGGAATTGATACGTGGGTTCCTGGAAATCAGGTGTGGATGCAGACCATGTGGTGAACCCATTTGCTGAAAGTGTTTTATGTGATCTGAATAAGAGGTGATCAGAAATGAGGCTTAACAGAGTAAACACCATTTTACCCAAACTTCGCCAGAGTGATTGTCAAAAGGAAGGAGGAATTCATAGTTTGAAGTCCCCAGCCTTCAATACTTAAAGAAAAAAAGTGTAAGGCCCAAACCCAGGGAAGATTTTGTTGCCATGGTGAATTTAGAGAAAGTATAAGTCCTTTTGAAGACAAAGTATGAAAATGCAATTTTGATGAGTTCTGAAGGGTGATGATCATTTCATTAATAAGTTCTCAGGAATATCATTTCCTGGCTCAGATGAACCTAGGAGAGTCATCATAGTGGAGATAGCCAGGAGGCATGTTGGTTTGGGTCTGACCAGGGCTTTCTGGAAGAGCAGGTGGGACTCGCTGGGCCTGGTCACTGGGAAAAGGGATGCCTCCCAGGCTGTGGCTTTCTGGGCCTTCTGTGGACCTGGGCAGATGGCCCACAGTGTTGCCAGGGAGGGAGGAGCCTTCTCTGCCAGACTCGAGCTCCCCTGAAGCTGAGGAGGGCATTCTAACCACCCATGTAGTGTGTAAGGTGGGGAATTCTCACTGAGAAAACAGCCCCACCATGTCTGATTTTTTTCTGTCTACACATTCAACATGTCTGATAATGCACCAAGATGTGTCCATGGAATTGTTTGTTTCGTTGATAGAGATGCTATTCCCTAACTTCTATTTTTTAACTACCATCTAGTGAATGCTCAGAATGTGCCGGGCTAGTCTAAGATGTTTTTAATGCACCATTTCATTTCATTCTCTCAGCAGCCATTGGGAGTCAATACTATTCATACTCCCATTTAGTCCATGACCGGTGAGGTTCTCAAAGAGGTTAAGAAACCTGCCCAGCATTACTTAGCAAGTCAGTGGCAGAGCCCACACCTATTTGGGTACAAAGCATGTGCTGTTAACAATTGAAATGTAAAAGATTCACTGTAAGGATTTTTTTTAAATTATCCTTTCAGAAGTGAGGCGGGGTTGGGGGGGGCGAAACAGTGGGAACCAAGGGGAAAAAATGTCCAGCTGAGCTATTCAGATATCTGGATGAATATGAATGATTTATGTTTTTCCTTAAAAAGAAAAAAAAAACATACATTTTAATAGAAACCTTTTCCTGTGCTTTTTCTGCCCTTACAGGATGTGGGTGAAAAGTGACTCTCAATTCCCCAGAGTTTAGTATAAGCCTCTCCAGTTTTAGATTTGCTTTCTATTAGTGCCTGTGTGTGAGCGCACGCGCAAGCATGCTTCTTGCCTGTTTAATATGGAAACCTTTTCCTGCTGTCTTTTAAAACCGCAGGCTTCTATACCAGAAAAAGGAAAGGTCAAATGTAAAAGAGCCATGGCACAGGATTTGTCTGTTTATTTACCGTTCCTGAGGCCAAGACTGATAGAACAGGATCAACATGACTTTTCATGAGGAGTGAGACCCTGGAGATTTGCTGATTTTGTGTGGAATATTTGTTGCTCTAAGGAACATAAAGGCCAGTGTAGAGGTATCCTAAGGCTCGCTCTTCTCAGTCATTACACTTGATCTTGTAGAAGAACCATGAACCTTCCTTAAATGGCATACAGTGTTTATCTTCAGAATGGCTTTTCTGGGGTGTATGGGAGCGTGTAAATGCTGCAGTGTGTGTGTGTTGGGGTCGGCAAGGATCTGAGTCCCTTCCATGATCTGCCTTGACTGTGACCAAGGCCTCTGTGATCTCAAGTCAGCAGTTAGTTCTCTGAGCAGAACTGCCTCAAGAAAGGCACGTTTCTGGAATGGTAGGCCTTAGTATGTAATAATCATGGACCTCTTTGCAAAACTGATTAAAGGTGTGATTAAAGGTGTCTTCCCAGAAAAAATGCCCATCCACACGCAACAGTTCAGAAATTCCTTGGAGCTCAGTGTCTCCCTACACACATGCATACATATATACATACATACAGAGAGAGGAGGGGGATATATACATACATACAGAGAGGGGGGAGAGAGGGGAGATAGTGGAAGGGGGAGAGAGAGAGGGAGAGTGAGAAAGAGAGAAAGAGAGAGAGAGAGAGAGAGAGAGAGAGAGAGACCCACCCCAGAGCCATATAGCAGTCATCCCTCTCTCTCTACAGGTCATCCTCTGAAGGGCCAACTCCTGGTATGGGATCTGTGGTTGGCATTGCCAAGAGCATCTCTTGTCCTCATATCTCTCTCACTTTGCAGAACTGAGCTTTAGTGCTGGCCGAGGTGCTGTGCATTCAGGGAGACTGGAAGGTCACCCAGGGCTGATGCCAGCACCCAATAGCGGGGAAGCGATGCTGTAAATATTCCTCTAAGTGAGGTGGTCCAGCTGAGGCTCTAGAAACAAATCAATCAAGGAACTGCACTATGGTGTCAGCAGCCCAGCAGAGAAAGGTGCGCTAGACCCTTATTAGGACACATCCTTTCACTCACGTATCAGACCTACCAGGTGCCACTGTGAGGTGAATGACCTCTATTTTTTATAAACTGACATACAGTATATTAAGTACAATGATTCTATTCTAAGGCATTGTGAGGATCAGAGTAGGTGAGTCATAGCTTGGTTTTGGAGGATGAGAAGGGTTCTCCAGGTAGGCAAAGCAGTAGAAGTTTATTTCTAGGAAGATAAAACAATGTTAAGTGAGGCATGAAATAGCACGATGCATTCTCTGAACTGTGGTTGTCCGGTGTTGCAGTGGTTGACAGTGAGGGAGAGCATGTGAGGCAGGAGAGAAATGCAGTCAGGAGCCAGATAATGTCAAACGCCCCTTTCTAGTGGTGCCAGGGTCCTCCCTCTTAAGCTTAGAAGTGGCAAATCCAAGCATCCCAGACCTTTGGACCCCAGCTTTTCTGTTCTTCCCAGACAGATACGATGAGCCTCCTATGCTTTGACAAATGCCGTCTTCCCCCACCCACCCTTGGTCCCTTTCCCTGGCTTCCCCAGTTCAGCCTTCGGCCCTTGTCCATCTATGGCCAACTCCTCCACATAGTATACTGGCCCCTCGGAACTCTTAGAAAACTGAGCTCACTTTACGCTTCAACCCTGCAGAGCCCACAGGATTCAAACAAAGGTCTCTTTCCAAAAGCAGGAATCCAGCTCTTGGAGTTCCTCCCAACCCCCATGCTGCCGTTCCCCCATTGGCTGCATCTGGGGGAAATGGACATGTAATAATTAGGTTTCCTTTCTTGAAGCAGTTCCTCTCCCTTGGCCTCACCCTCTGCCTGCTGTGACAGCCATCTACACCTGTAAGTGAACTTGGCCCAGGGTAAGAGTCATGACAGCAGAGAGTACTGCCAGGACATCACAGGTCACTTGCTATCAAAAACAGGAAGTAGGATTTAGTCAAGCCATTCCCTATGGTCCCCATGTAACCAAGTAGCTGAGAGGTGCGTCCTATTTGAAAATTGCTCTTCCTATGTAGCCTGTCATCTTCCCCCAAGCCTGCTTTTCTTCCTATCTTCCCTGGCCCAGGGAACATGGTCATTATGCAGCCAGTTGCCCAGATCAGTATCTTGAAGTTACCCCTTCCTTCCTCCCTCCCTCCCTCCCTCCCTCCCTCCCTCCCTCCCTCAAGTGTGCATCAGAGCTCCAAAGGGTGGAACCTGTGGGATTTCAGAGGCTGAGAACTCTTTCCCTCCCTCTCCTTCCCTCCCTTCCTTCCTCTCTCCCTTTCTTCCTCCCTCCCTTTCTTCCTTCCATCTCTTCTTCTCTTATTCTTTCTCCAGACTCAGCAAATCACCATGTCCTATCCAGGCTGCCTCCTAAATAACTCTTGGATCTTCCCGTTCTCTTAACATGTACAGCCTTTATTAAGACCCTGATAATTCATCTCCTGAGTTTTGTAGTAGCCCCTTGACTAGTTTTCAGTATCATTGCCTTCCAACACATCCCCAGTGCTGCTGCCAAAAAGATCCTCTGACCAGATCACCAGCTCCTTAAGGTCCTCTAGCTGAGATTCTCCATTGCCTTTGGGCCAAAGCCCATGCTTCCTAAGTTGGAACATTAAGATGCACCCTGCCGTCTCCAGATGCTCCTTTAGCCTCCTTCGTCAGCCTTCTCTTCCCATTCTGGGAGCACTTCCTAGTCTCTAGCCATTCTGATCTGCTAGACACATTCTGCACAAGTTTTGGTCTTCTCATGCATGCCTCATCTGCTGGACCATTTGCCAAAGCTCATTCCTTTACCTCTCTGCACTGTAGTACTTGTTATTGTAGACATTCAATATATATTACAAGATTGTGATTTTAAAAAACTTTTATTTGGAAATTTATGTATTACTTTTAGAAAAACAACTAG